GTGTGTGAGAGTGTGTGTGTGTGTGTGTGTGTGTGTGTGTGTGTGAGAGAGAGAGAGTGTGTGTGTGTGAGAAAGAGTGTGTGCATGTTTATGTGGTTTATGGGGACACAAATTTGTATAATAACATGGGTATGACATAGGTATTACAACGAGAAGATGATTTATGAGGACATTTTCAGTGTCCCCGTAATTCAAAACGCTTATAAATCACACAGAATGGAGTGTAAGGTGTGTGTGTGAGAGACAGCACCTGTATCTCAGAGGTGTGTGTGTGTGTGTGAGAGAGAGACAGCACCTGTATCTCAGAGGTGTGTGTGTGTGAGAGAGAGACAGCACCTGTATCTCAGAGGGGTGTGTGTGTGAGTGAGAGAGAGCACCTGGAGTGTGGGGGTGTGTGTGTGGGTGTGAGAGAGAGAGTGTGTGTGTGTGTGTGTGTGAGAGAGAGTGTGTGTATGTGTGTGTGTGTGCAGGATTTCCCCTGGAGTGGTCGTCGTCTGGGTCGGTGTGCTGTGGTTGGCAGTGGTGGGATCCTGAAGAACAGCAGCTGTGGATCTGAGATTGACAGAGCAGACTTCGTCATACGGTAAACACATCCCATCATGCCTTGCCTCCCTCAACACATCCGTCTGTAATCATGCGTGCTTCCTGTTAAGATGAAGTTTTCTCTCTCTGTTTCAGGTTTAATTTGGCGTTGATTAATGACAGTGATGTTGGGCTGAAGACGGATCTGATAACCATCAACCCCAGTCAGATTCGGTCAGTGTCCATAAACACCAGTTCAGTTAACATTGACGTTTTAGATTTGGATTTAAAGATTTAGAGTTAAAGCTCTCAGTGAGATGGATCCTTGTTTTTAATTAATCTAACTGAAGTTTAGCACATTCATTAGCCATTACTGGCATCCCTACATACACTCTTCAAAATAAAGGTGCTTTAATGGTTCCATGAAGAACCTTTAACATCCATTATTCAATTGCAATTGTGGAAAAAGGTTCTTGAAGTTATATGTATAAAAGTGTGTGTGTTCTTCCCACTATAACCATGTTCCGCTCAGACTGCATTGTAAATTTGTTAAATAAGTATTCTGATTACATATAATTTATGCACTATGGTTATGATTTGGCTCATCTGTCAGGTTATAAAACAAAAACAGTGCTTTAATTGATATCCTTGGGAAACTGATTTGCTACAATCTTGTATCTTCAAAATGCTTTATGTTCTTTATGCAAATTATAGCTCTCTGAATTTAATTTTTCCGTCTTTTGCTAGACTCGCTCTTCTCACTTTTCCCATCACATATCAGATCAGAAAGGCATTTGCTTTCAATGAAGAAAAGTGGAAACAATGTGCATAACGAGTGGTTAATAATGAGGTATATCGGGGTTAGAGGTAGGTCTAAGGATGAGGGCTTTATTGTCCCAATAAAGGCTGCATCCATGTCATAATTTTAATAAATATAATCATTTACACTCTAC